GCTCAGAATGCAAAAAATAAATCAATTATAGAAGAATATGAAAAGGGACTGGAATGCAAGAAAAATCGCAAATTCCAAACTAGATGCATCCAGATAGCTAAAGAAATTCTTAATGAGGAACCTATGATCGAATATCGCCCCTCTTTCATGCAAGGATTAGAGCTTGATGCCTTCTTCCAAAAATACCGAATTGCATTGGAGGTGCAAGGGGCTCAGCATCGGCTTCATAGCACTAGCTGGTATAAGGATGTTAAAAAACTCGAAGACATTGTTAATCGTGATCGGCAAAAACGATGTATATGTCAAGATAATGGAATTTTCCTTATCGAAATATGGTATGATGAAAAACCGGAAATTGTTATTCCTGAAAGGATTCGAAAAATTAAGGGTTTCGTTAACCAAGCGTTTAAAAAATTTTGACCTATAATAAATCTATAATGTATAACATATAATCTAAATCGCAGGCAGTGTTAAATATATATTTTTATGCTAAAAAGCCAAATTCGCCTCAGTAGAACATAAAATCGTGTATATTGATCCATAATAAAAATAGTGCACCTTATTAATGTTTTTGCATTATTACAAGCAATATTTATTTGCAACAAATAAAATGTAAATTTGCTAACTAGTATTTGGGAATTATTTTTCTATTTATAATTATTTATTTTAGACATGCAGAATATTCATATAATGAACCCGCCATGGCATTCGCATATAAAATTATCAGTCCCGATTATGACTCTGAAGATGATTCTTTCTTGGCTTGAAAGAGAAATGATATGAATAAGACAAGAAACTTGAAATCACAGTATAATGGTATAATGTACTTACCTAATTTTTCGTTCAGCTATTCTACCAACTCCATTATTGATTCAGCCGGACTTGGCTTTAACTCATATAAACCTGGCTTACGGGTTAATTTTTCTTCTGCAAGTCGAAGAAATGCTCGACCTGTTAGGTCTTGGTCCCTTATTTTTTTATATCAGTTTCTTTATAATCTAGGTCTTTAATTCTGGAAATGAGAAATTTTTTTACATCTTCCGAGGCCCATTTCTTAACGTCATCCGGAAGGTTTTCATCTGATAACAAAATAAAGATAATGATAAGTATATGTTAATTCCTCGTACTATCCCAAAATGAATAATCTTCTTACCACAAACAATATTCGTTTCATCAGAAATATTTACAGCTTCGCCATTATTATTTCGAAGATGTTTTCGGTTATCACTAATTTGGATCGCGTTACTTCCTGTTGAAATCATTTGATGATTTACCTGATTGAAAGAAAATACAGTATTACTGGATATGTCTTACTGTATATTACAGGATTAAGATTAAAGCTCACCCGTAAACTATCAATCGTAAAGTGTGAAAAATCGCGTTTCAAGTTCATCTTTCTCTCTTCCGATATAGTCTTCCAACCCTAGCAAAACAAAATATAAAATTAATATTTGTTGCGTCGAACCAACGGTTCGTCACTGGGACTAAGAGTCACAGCTTGCGCTCAAGCGTCGAACTAAGAGTTCATAGCTGTGGACTTGCGTCACTGAAACTAAGAGTTCCCGCTTGCGCTTGAAATGGGAGAACTAAGAGTTCATAACTGCGACTAAGAGTCACCAGCTTTCCTCAGACTCGTTAAATTAAATCTTATCAGTATACTTACTTTCCAATGGTCTATAATTTCCTGAGCCCTTTTTTTTCCGTTCCTCGTCAAATCCAGATTCTGAAGTCGCCACAACTACAAGATCTTTTTTAATATTATCTAGTACGTGGCTCAAATCTTTCCTCTCTAAATTCGCACGATACCTTTCTACTAAATTATCATACGACCAGTCTTTGATTTCAATAATATTATAAACATCTAAATTCATACGCTTTTTTGGAGAAGACATTATTGTTAGAACAAAGAATAGATTATACGACGCTTAGAGAAGATTCGGATGTGCCAATAACTTATTTAGGTACTTGGACATGTTTATCACGTGATGTGAGCCAATGCTATACACAACCTGATATGATACTATAATATCATGCGCAGTAAGACGTCATCTCTATACCTTTCCGCAGTGATTATGCCTGCTATTTTTCCTTCGAAATTTTGAATTCTCCCAGTTCGCTTTAGCAAATAGACCTTGACCCGCAAAAAGAATAAAAGTCGTATACACCAGCAACTTCCGTCGAATCAGCATCAGCCAATGAGACCAGTCTAAAAGCGTTACAGTAACGGATACAGGATTGCGAGAACTTATTCGTCAAGGTCTAATAGTTGATGAAGTTCACGAAGTATTATCATATGATCGAAAAAATATGCCTTGGGTTGTGAGAAGACTATATATAAGTTTACTCTCGCAGAAGTAGAAAATTGGCTAAAAAAACAGTTTATATATCAGGTATGCAATCCTCCACCATTAATAGCCCGAAGCAGATATTATCAAATTGCTCAAATAAGTCTTGACATTGCATAAGCCCAATTAGAGGATGATACAATATTGTTTTTCAAAATTGCGACGGTTCCGCAGTATTCGCGTTACGCGATTTGTTAATTAACTTCTAATCCATGATGTGGCATAGTAAATTTTCCCAACTGTCAAAGCTATTCCGGCTTCCTGTGATCCAAATACTTCACACCTTGGCTTGTTTTGAAACTCTCGGTATCCTGCATCTGGTCGAACTGGTTTGGGATTTCTACAATATCTAGACCGCGTTTCGTATGCGGTTGAAGTTTCAATTCTCATATAGTGCTAATAATACATTTTGGGATTCGCTGGGTAGCTATGAATTCTTACATAACAACCTACCAATTTCTCACCTCCTTTAGATTCCCAGAACCGGAATCTAGTATTTTGTAGGTTGTCAGGTCACCAACATTTCACACGCCACTTTGGCAATGTGGTCTCTCCAAGATTCTTTCGCGGTTATATCCAAAATAATTGGCTTTACAATTATCTGAATAACTACGCATCCAGTGATCAGATTATCACGATATTTGAGATGATAGAAGTTCAGAATCGGCCGAATCCAGTCGTTCAATTCACATCTAAATTGGGTCATTGGTTGACGAGCTATTCGCGTTCAAAGTTCGTTATGGCAAATCGACCTTTTATGACAATTCCTCCCTCCTTCAGTCAAGACCTTTAGGAGATAGTTTAACTTAATTGCCTAATCTGATAGGTTTTCTTTTTTCGAACTATAGTAAGAAAAAGGGGAGTGTGTTAATATTTTTTGACTTTATTGATTGATTAGAGACCTGCATGTTAATACAGCTTAATTTCGGAATCGGGATCAGCAAATTAATAGATAGGATTACCATATTTGTTCCAGGAAGAGAAGATATAGTGTCAACATAAATAATGCGCAGTAATATTATGGTAATCATTACATGTATCACAGGAACAAGCAACTGCGCAAAATAATTTATTCTCAAACTTTCTCGCACATTCTCAAAAATATGTATAGTCCCTTGATAATCTTTATATATGGATTATGAATAGTGTTAAGTTAAGGAGAAGCTGTTGATCAGATTTTTGTGATGCAATCATATTAATGTAATTTTTTCCCAAGCGTATTCCAAGATCAATTCTGCAAATTATATAAAAAGGTGATGTTCTAGTTAGTAAATCTTTTTATCTGCCTTGTGCGAATATAAGCAAGAATCAAAGAAAAATAAAATGAAAAATTATAATAAAATTAATAAATTTAAAACTGCTGTTATTATTATTTTATATTATCTGTGTGTGGAGGGGTGATATATATATGCAAAAATTTGTATGGGATAATTTATTTCAGAAATCTAGTGTAAAAAAAGAGTATTGCTGTAAAAATCTCGTAGTTAGCAATAGTGATAGGAAAAAAACAATTAGTATAGAAATTTATAATAGAGCAAAGAAATGATTTAATGCTAGGACTCGCATTAAATAGCCTAGGATCCGCGTACTCCCTCCCTCTTTGATAGCATCATTGCAATCTTTACTATTTTTCGCTTCGTGACTTCTTACTGTATTTAAAAAATTTGTTCGTCTGACATTTGTGCGACAATAGATTTCTTATATATACCCAAATCCTCATTTTTTTTGCTTTTTTCTGAAACTATATAGTATAACGCATAACACTAATGTGTGACAGGTTATGCCGAAAATGTGGCACAGTTGTCAATTAACTTGCCTGACTGCACATTCAGCAGTAAACAAATTAGACGCGATCAAGTGTTTCAGTAATCTAAACAATTACAGTTCGTGTCGCTTTGATAAATACAATATCACAATATCTTGTACCCTTGATTGAAATTTTTTTTCATCATTTTTTCACACATACTTTCTTCTCAAACAAAACGAATGTCTTTGACACACAAAAGTGTCTTGTTATAAGAAAAAATCAAATAAATTTTACAAGTATTCTATTAGTTAATAAAAAATTAAAAGGTTTAAATAAGTTACACAATTTAAGTTGTGACTGTGAAATATATAAAATATGAATCGCTCAGAAAATACTTCACAGGTAAAAAATTTAGCATATAATAATTTATCATATTTATTTATTATCATTATACTGTATAAAATGAAGCTTTAATTTTTTGCATATTATATAGAGTTTTATCTTTAATTTTTACTATATTAATTTTAATAAAATCATCATTATAATAAAGTTTATCAATTGATTTTTTTATTGTTATATTTATTATAAATTTTTTAAAGTTTATTATATGCATTATCTTGTATTTACTTAATTATTTATCTATTTTATAAGTCTTTTTTTGGGATTTCCTTCCAGAAATATTAAAACAAGTTCTTCCTTAGGAGAGTACATATCTAATCGAAAAGTTTAATGAATTACCTCCATATCAAACTACTGAGAATTTTGACATTACACAATTTGAGCTAAAAGTATATGTAAATGCAAATTGTGAAGAAGAAGCATGCAAGTGGTTTACTTCATTTGAATCATATTCAAAAACAATAATACCGCAAACAAGGGGTTTTAATGTTAAAGAAAACTGGATCATTTTTAGAGAACTACGTCACTGTATTTATAGTAACAATGTAAAGAAAAAACAAGATATTCATGAAACTAAACATCCACAATCTGCTTGAACATGCAATATTAGTTGCAATGCAACTATTCATCTTCGATTAGAATGGCAATGACTTCTGGATAGCTATCCATTAGAAGTTAAGTTGAATTTTAAGCATAATCACGTTATTAATTGTGCAGAATCACTAAGTTTCCATTGTGTTAACGAAAAAGTTTGTGAAGAGCTCTTAAATTCAATTAAAGATGGACATTCGCCCTCTTCCACTTTACATACATATGAAGATACACTATATCTTAACGCTATAAATGAACAAGAGTTATTGAGGATTCTTGCAGACTGAGCAATCAATCCTGGTTACGCTTATATTTCCGCTCTTTTTCGAAAATATAGAGAGGAAGCGCTTGGAAGCCATAATGGAGAATCTATGTTTAAACGCTTAGATTTAGTTATTGAGGAATACAATAATTCAAGCTGTGGAAAGGCTATATTACAAAAATATGATGCGCGTGTTGGAAAATCCTTTATCCTTTATATTGTAACGAACCTTATGCGTCGTATTCATGAAAAGTCCTCCAAGCATGAGAACTGTGTTATATGGATGCTTCAGCATCTTTTGATCCTCTTAATACTTCAGTAACACTTCTATATACTATTTGTGTGGCTGGTGCTCTTCCACTCAGCCTTTTTATTACATCAAATGAGTCAGAAATTACATTGGAAAATGCGGTAATTTTCCAAATTTTTTATTAATTTAATTTAATTAATTTAATTAATTTATTAATTTTATTTTATTTATTTAATTAATTTCTTATTTATTTTAATTTAGTTAAATTTATTAAAGACGATTCTTCCGCCAAATGCCTTTTATGGATGTGGCTCACAAGTTGACCCAATTGTTTTTTTAACGAATGATTCAAGTGTAGAATGAAATACTCTGGAACTTTGCTGGCCAAATGGTAACTTTATTTTATCTATAAATATAAAATTCATTTGTTAAATATTAATAATTTAAATTATTATAGGAATTTGACTTCTTTGTACCTTTCACTTTTTACAAGTCTTTTGGAGGTGGCTATACGATTTGAAACATAAAATTAGAAAGGAAAATTGAGTATCTATTATGGAAAAAATGAGAAAAATCATATATGCCCAATCGTGTTCAAAAATAAACAGGTATTATGATGAATTCAAGAAGGATTTTATAATTATCCGCAGTTGATAAAACACTTTGAACTTATGTGGAAACATCGACAATATTGGGCTTTATTTTTTCGTTTAGGCTTACCTATGCGTGAAAACAACACAAATAATTACATTGAATGAAGTTTTGATATAATGAAAGATATAATTTTCTCAAGAACACAAGCTTACAATCCCGTATAAGTATTTCAGTTTATAATTACAACTATGGAACGATTTTATGAAAGGCGATTACTTGCAATTGCACATAAACATCCAGTGAATATTAGCATTGCAAAACGATTCCTATGTCCTGGCTGGGAAAAGATAAATTCAGATATAATTCAAAGAACTAATATAGAATATGAATTTTTAGTACCTAGTACAAAGAATATCAGCCTTATATATATTGTAAATAGTGAGATCAGAGTGTGTTTCTGTCCCATTAGAATATCGGTGCTCCTTGTAAACATCAAGGAGCAGTTTCAATGAAATATCATATTTCTATGTTCAATTTTATTCCGTCTTTAACGCTTGATGATCATATGACTTATGCTTATATAGTACTTGATAAGTAATTTGTTAATTTTTTTTTCAAATAGCAAATTTGAGAGTTCCATAAATTAATTATGCTTATTTTTTTTTAGGTTATGTTACTGAAGATAAGTCTTTTTATATATCATTGCACATGCAACCTGTTCAACAAAATCAAACTTCATATTCTGAAATGGAAATATCAAACAATACTTTAATTGTCAAGTAAGTTAAAAATATATTTTTTTATTTTTTTCTTTATTAATTAGTTATGGAATATTTTTACAATTTAATAATCTTTTTATAGAGGGTCTAGAGAATCTAATGAGGAAAATGAAGGAATTGATGTTTCTGAATTTTCTTCTTTTTTAGAAGTAGTTAAGTCAGATTATCAAAATTCTGATCAAAAATTACGAATTGCGTTAGATAAATTCAAAGATCGTTATAATGCGACGAAGTTGAAATCCATATCCTGATTATGCTCCTTCTTTATAACCTAAATCATAATTTAGACCCAACAGTTTATATAAGAAGTGGTACAAAAATACGGGTTCAAGTAGAATTGATTAAACGACGAAAAGTAGGAGGAGGTAGTTTCAAGCGAAGATTACCTATTTCTAATAATAAAGAAAAAGAGAATTTAGATCCTATGGCTATTCCAGTCTGTAAAAAGAAGAAATCAGGCAAAAAGAACACAATTTAAACAAAAATATACTAAATAATCGATTAAATTAAAGTGCTATAACAAGCATTTATAATGAGAATTCGAGAATTTATAGGAAGATTATTGCTTTCTCATTGTTTTCGCATTTTTTTACTTTTAATAAACTTTTGAAAAATTAATTTTTATTAATTATATTTATTTATTGCAATTTAAAATAAATTTCCATAAAAAATTCGCGATTTTTTTTGCTTTTTACTATTATACAGTCAAGTTAATTGATGATTACAATTAGTTGTGCTTAAGGTTGTTGGACGAAATCAAGAGTTTAGACAGACATCTAAATGGTAAAAGTAAAACTTGGTTAAATCATATTAAAACCTTATTAAAAAATCTGCGAAATTTGGAAAAGGTAAAACTATATCAAAGCTTATAAAAATGGCGAAACTATATCAAACACTTAGTAAAAATTTAGCAAAACTAAAGGTTTTACCGTTTTGCCAAATCCAAAATGAGTTTAGATAAGCAACCTTAGTTGTGCTACATACTTTAAGCTATATAATCAGTGTAACCTGTCACACATTAGTGGTGTGCCAGTACAACGCCGACTGCACTTTTGTCCCACTATAATTTTTTTTTCAAAATCGAAATGTCTACAAGTGCTACTTCTAATTCCTCTATTAAAAACGTTGAAAAATTTAATACGAACCGACTTATCATTTATTTGCAGTCTTACTTGCAAGAAAAGAACTTGACATTAAATGACTCTGAAATTCAAAAATTTCATGAAAGAGAAATTAATGATTACATTTTTCTTAATTTAACTGAAGATTTGCTTACGAAATATGAGTTTTCACTTAGAAAAAGGGTGGTATTTGCTAATTTAATTAATAATTTGAATAGTCAAAGTAAGTTCTATTATAAAATAGTTTAACATTTGTATGTCTCACATGTTCAACAAACGTCTTTCTAGTCAGTTATTTTCGTAGTATTTATTAACTCATCTCATTTTTTTAGGGCTTCTAAGTCTTGAAGAATATCTATCATGTGCTCCGCCATATGTCACATATTCTCCACATAGTACTAGCTTGACAAGTTCTACAAATACAGTCGGTGACCCTCTGGATGAAATGACACTTTAGGAAGACTTCCTCGAAAATGTAAATGAGTATATGTTCGACGAAGAACGAAAATTCCAAAAACTGATATTTAATACAAAATTTAAGGCGACCTTCAAAGAAATTGTTCGCAATGCTTATAATGTAAACATTGTATGATTTTGAATGAAGTTATACAAGATTGTGAGTTTGCAATGCGGGAAGTTCAAGGTACTGGTAAACCAGATTTTACTTGCCACAAAAAAGATGATGATGAACTAATCATGGCAATCAAAATCAAGAGATATCACATTTTACTAGGTATTAAACCTGATCAAACATTACCCAAATTTTATAAAGAGAATGCTAAAGCAAGGATGATGATACAGCAAATTTACAATTACTTGTCAGAAAACCAGCTTAAATACGGAGTACTTTTTACTTACGATAATAATTGGTTTGTTAAGAGAGAGCATAAACGTCTATATATTTCAAAGTCACCTTCATTGGATTCAATACGTCCACCAGTTCTTAAGAGCTACGCATATCTAGCTCAGCTAGCAAAGTGCAATCATTATTCTTCTCATCCTAGCATCATTCTGCAAATTGACAATTTACAATATAATCTTTAAAAACGTTCACACGATAATTCTGATGATGATCATTATAATTCTAACTCAAATCCACAACTCTCTAGAAGAAGTCAACGATTATCTTTCAATCGATCATCTTCCGGTACTTCTGGAAGTTAACAATCATCTTCTAAACAATCAGCTTCTAAACAATCATCTTCCAATACCTCTGGAAAACAAAACATGAAGGCACAGAATTTTAACTATAGGAACTTTAAGTATAATAGTATATTAAGCACTGGAGAAAATAAAAAGATGCTTGAATGTGAATTCCATGAACAGACAATTGTCGTAAAGTGCACTGATTTGTCAAAGAAACCCAATTGTCTGGATGAATTGTTGAATGAAGTTAAAATTTATAAATCTCTTGCTAAACTTCAGGAGATATATATTCCAGAATTGTTATTTTATAGCAATTTTGCAAGTGGAATGAGCTTTGTTATGGGTATGTCCATGGTTGGCACTATGTTAAGTCATCATAAGATAGATAAGATTCATGATTATAAGATTCTTTACAATAATATTCGTGATCCTGGTTGACAAAAAAGGATATGTGTATTTGACCGATTTTGAAATGTCAATTCGAAATGATGATGAGGAGCTGTTTAGTAAAGAGAAGTTTGAGTTATCCCATTTATTAGACTGCCATATATGATTAATATTTACTATGCGAAATTCACAAAATATCTTAAGTTAGCTATTTTAATGTCATTGTAAATACGATTATTAATAAAGTAATACCTATTTGCTATATTATGCAAAAAACAAAAAAAAATAAACGTGAGACGTGTTACCTTATATAATCACTAAAATTCTCGAAAATGATTTGTGGACTTCGATCGTAGATTCATGCTATCCATTCACATGTAATCTAACCAAAATATCAGATATTGCACAAATATGATTATCATCTGCATGTATATGATTCTGCGCAGTTCAATCAACATGTATCAGCTAAATTAGACCCAAATTCTTTTTCGACTAAATTGTCTCACACATCTGAGGGAGATCTCATATGATACGAATTTTTAGCTGTTATATTATCTCGGAACTAATTTAACCGAATTATGACATATTGGGAAAACTCCAGAGATCTACAAACTGATTTATATGCATGTGAATATGCATAGCACCTTCGGCTAAATCCCGATATGCTTATAATCGAATAAAAAAATGAATCTGATATTTTATTATAATATACTTAATACAAACTGCTATAACGCTAAATATTCGTTAAAACACTATAAATCACTACAAATCGATAATTGCTATAAACCATTAAATATGTCAGGAACTCATATTAATATTTTAGATAAGGATTTTAATAAAATTGTGCCTAAACTGATTAATAATCGTCCTGGATTTGATATAAATTATCTTAGATCATATGTAAAAAATTACAGTTCTTATTATGCTAATCAATTCAAAAAGATTCTTGAGGTGGAAAAACGATATGATGATTTATCTGTCATTAGATCTTATGAAACTCCTTAGCAATAGGCTATTCATGTAAAAGATGCTTTGCAAGCATTGATTACTAAAGAGAAAAAAGAAAGCTTTTATCATATATTCTGCCTTTTCAGATCATCTGGGCAAGGAGTAACCAAGACATACTATGATAACTACGAAGGGAGAGAAGTTGTTATTGGTTATTACAAACCTAATATTTACAATAGCAAAATGGCTATTTGCTTTGATTGTTGGAAATTAGTAAAGATCACTGATGTAAACCAAAAAAGATATATTTCAGTGGATGGCAGAGATATGGGTATGAAATTAAGCCTGAAGACTTGATGAAACATCATTGAAATAACTCATGTTTCAAGACTAATCAACATAAAGAAGCTCATCTTCTCGCAAGCTCGAAGTCAGAAATATTGAGTGAAAAATCTTCTGACCAGAGGGGAGTATTATATCCTGAAAAAATACACTGCCCCGGGATTCCCTCCCGCAGTTTGATAGAACAAGTGGGAGTGAATTATTTATCTCATCTATATACGCAAAACAAAATAACTTAAACCATCTTAATCAACCAAAAGGTACCACGTTAAGATTGAAAGATAGGATAAAACTCACGATTGTTTAACTAGTTTAACTAATATAATTTATTTTTTTGCGTTATATAATCTGTATAGATGATTGCCTGTGAAAAATTGGCCAAAAACGCTATGCATGATCTGCCTATTCTGGGTTAGATCCTTTAATTTGTAACTATTTTAATAAAGTATTTTTCAAGAAAAAGAGGAATTCATTCAATGAAGCAATCATAGGGGTTCTTGATTCCCTAATACCATAATTATAGTTTTGAAAATTTCTATGCAACAGTTATCTAGCGAGCTTACAGAAGTTATAAGAAGAGACCCAAATCTTTGGTAAAACAAGTTTGGGAAGCGGTGAGGAATGATGATACTCCTGACAGGTGGTATTATTCCTTGTGGTGAGGCTTATTATTATATTAATAGAAAACTCATAAAATTTAACTGAAAAAGTGATTATTTTAATATGCTATATAATCATAACCTTCATTCTCCTATAACTTGGACGGAAGAGAAAAAAAATCAATTATTATACTGATTAGGTTGGGTACTCTTTGCCCGTGCTAGAAAAACATTATAATAAAAAGGTTATATACCAAAGTGGTATACCTCGATAAAATGGGCACAAAATCCTGAATATTATTTTAATGCTGAAAAAAATCCAGTCAGTATACTAGTAGTCAGAATGGAAATGTTGGCGCAACTCGATTTGCATATTAATATCCCGCCTAACAATAATTGGTAATATAGAGATAAAGCATCCCGAGAGCACTCGAGCTAGCTCAAAATGTTTCCTAATACCATATCTAGTATTATTTTATAAACATAGCAGGAGAAAAACTATCTATAGATTTTTTAAAATACAATCGAAGTGATATATAAATAAAAAATAGTTCTATATAGGGAAATGTATTATATTAGCTCTATATTTACCTGCGTCTCACCAATGACATGTGTGATAAAATAAACATGTTCCTGATCCTCATTAAAGCTTGTGAAATGCATATATGATATAATAGTGATACATTATCAATCATCTGTGCAACTATCTGCTTGTACGACAAAATAATTTCACACATAAATCGACCTCTCCTTTAATGTAGGAGATAAACCCTAATAGCTATTTGCCCTGAAGATCTTTGATCGAAGGGAATATTTCGATTTTTTTTCTTCCTCCTTCAGTTATAGACCTGCAAGAGATAAACTTTCCTAATAATAGTATATCCAGACAGATAAAAAAATCTATATATGTATTACTCCCCAATGTCTTTCTAAATGTTAAGATTTTTAATGCAAAATTTTGGTGTAAGGGTCTATTGCATATTCTCCTGTCCCCTCCCCCCAACATGAATTCAAACTCAGAAAGAACATAAATGGCCATTTAAAAGGGTAGTATATGAAATTTTTAGCTATTTGTCACTTTGTGGGGATATTTCTCATTCTTTCTCAATTTACATTATTTCTCTAACACCAAATTTTTTACAAAACATGTCTACTAAAATTTATAATAAGATTTACGATTTCTTAACAACTGCTGAGGAATGTCGAATAAATGCTATGTCAGTTATTTATCTTGGAATGAAAGAAAACCGCTGGATTTCCCAAATAGAATTGAAAATGAATGTAGAACGAGCTGTGGCATCTGCTAGCAATGTATTTATGAAAGGCTCTTCTCGTCAATTAAAAATTTTTCGAATCCTACCACAGGTTAGTTAAGATTTATACAAACATTTTGGCTTTTATTATTATATGATGATATTGTGTGATCGTTTACTAAAGTAAACCTGAATAAACAAGTTGTTTTTTTGGTTTATTGCTTATGTTCGACCTACCCATTCAGCTCGCTTGCCAGTAAATACTTACACATAATAGAGGAGTGTATATGCTATAATCTTTTATATAGTTTTGTAGTTCACCCTACCAGCCTATTATGTGAAAAGGTTATTGCCATGTCGAGGGGTGTGTTAAGATATAAGTTATTATATTACTTTGTTAGTATTACACGAAATTTTGTCTGCGTGATGGCCATACAAAGATAATAACTTCACATATGTACTGATGATTGTGTTATTTTAATGATGAAAACTTCTTTTTATTTCTGAAATCTAACATAATACTTTTTTTTAGTTTGATATTGGCTTTGAAGGTATATGTACCTTATACGACATAGAGGCAATTAAAACGGATAAGGAAATTCCTTTTAGTTCAAACCAGATTGAAGATAATATAAATGATCTGAAAGAAAAGCTTAGAAAAGACACTTCGCCTCTCTATCAACAATTATATTTTAAAGTAAATGCTATATCTATTCAAAGCTTAATCTGGAAGGATCCTTTGGCCAGCCGAGTAATTAGTGATCAATCATAAGTTGTCAAACAGTTAATATCAAATCTAAAAAGGCATTTAAGGTAGGTAACCGTAAATTCGTTAAAGGTTCTTTGAGAATAAATATAACATATTCTTTATATTAGAAACCTGTTCAGCAAATGACACCTGCTCCTATGATTATAGTTAAAGAGATGTGTGAAAATTTCGTAACAAGTTTTATCAATCATAACATTCAGAATACAATACCAGATAAACTAATTCACGATGGATCCTGGAAAGAATCAGAAGAAAAAAATCACAGATGTTATAAAAGAAGTTTTAATTCTTCTGGAAGATATTTGGATTAACCCAGCTTTTAATTTTGAACTTGTGAAATCGCTAAATGAAGGAACCTATCAATCAACAGTTATTCTATTGTCTATTCAAGTAACATTAAAAAATCTTCCTTTTAGACTATCCTCATTTATCAGTACTTCAGAACGATAGAGTATTGCTAGTGCGGATAGGAAAGGCGAAGGGCAGGTGGGAAGACGACCAGATATTATGTATGTAGTAAATATTTAGATGTTTTCTTTGAGCTTATGTATGTCGAATGTTCACGATTATATTGTAGTCAACAGAAAAAGATAGATGATGAGATAAAGCTATGGAAAGAAAGTAACGATGGGATGTTCTGGGTTCGCAAAGTCCTTAAACTGGAGAAAGATCAATTTGGAATAGTTGGAATGCAAGTAGCTGGGAATATGTTGCATCTGAATATACTTATTAGAGATAAAGCAAACGTTCATAGATATTTTCATTTACAATCGGCTGAAATTTCTGTGCGATTGTCAGATGTGGGCGTTGTAACTAAATTTGTGGAAACCCTTTTACTTTTACAAAACATATTAATTACAAATTTGTTCCTACTATATTACGCATCTATTTCCATATCAGAAAGACAAAAAGAAGATAGTACTACAGTTTCTACTCTAATGCAAGACAATTAGAGTTTCTTTTTTTTGTAATTTATCATGTATTTTTATTTTTTCTGTATCAATAAAGGGACCCTGGCGGTTGATTTCATAAATATACATATTTTATTTCTTGACAATTTTCTGCTGAGATAACAGCCTGTCCTGGAAAACTGGTGGATTCCATAACCTATCATTTTTCTTGGTAAAATTTCGTTTACCT